CCGTTTCGCTGAGTTGACTAGTGCACCTGTTATAGTTGTGCATAATCATTAACAAAACTAAACCCACCATACCAGCAGGTGTAATTATAATGAAATAGAGAAATATGCATCATGTGCCACAGTGTCTTTGAAAAATTCGCTTCTGTTGAAACTCAGTTCTGTCTGACGCTTTATGCAAGGACATACCTACATAGAGACAACTTTCCCCATGGAAAAAAGAGTTGAAATTTCCTCAAGGTGTATTTTTTGGAATCTTTCACGGGTCACATCTTGAGTTGCTTTATCAAGTATCAGATGAGTCACAGCGAATCATAACCGTAATAGCAGCATGACCACGCTCGAACATATTACGACCTCAGTAGTTAGTAGTCTTCTGGATGAATTCATTACACTACTGAAATTTTTAAAATTGAAATTGTTCACAGGAAATTCAACCTACAGTTAGGATTTGAGTCCGCAACCGCATAATTTAAAGTGCAACGGCTTCACTCATTGCCCCATGCCCAATTCAGTCATCGCCTCAAAATTGCCTCAAACTAAGTTCCTAGGAATTTGTTATTCACGTTTAGTTATAAGCTTCCTCAGTTCTGAGTCGTTAATTTTCTGTGGTTCCTTGTGAAAGGAGAACGATGCCAGTGGTATAAAGTGGATCTGATTTACACCAGAGTGGAGTGATCGTTATCGCTATTTTAAGGTTCATTTTTACAGTATAGTTCAGGGTAAGCCTCGTTGTTAAACGTGATTACCCGGATCACGATCGAAAGGAAAATTTCGCTCTAGGAATATGAGAGGGGCAACGGTGGCAGAGTCATATCTGCTTGACCTTTAATCCGCTTGACTGGACTAAACGAGCACGGGGGCATCGGGACGGCGACCTGGTGCACGCAGCTACTTGCGGCGACTGTAGAGAGCGCCGCTTCGACAGTTGGGCAGCTTCACGCCTGCCGTAGTGGCGCTTGTTCCGACGGCTTGAATCAAAGAACAGAGGCAAGGGGTTTAACACCTAGATGAGAACGCTGAGATGTTTTTGGCCACTAAGCGTTTCTCGTAAATTACTTAAGATGGCCTTATTGCCAAACATCGCCGTTGTTATGAACGCTCGCTTTCTCATGTTTCACGCGCTAAGCACTAACAGCTTCAACGGAACAATGGGCCGCCGGGCATCTGTCGACAGTATTGTTGCAAGCGCGGAATTGTGACGTAAAGTGGATCCACAACCTTGTGTTAATAACGGATGTTTGTGAGCCTCATCTGTGCTAAGCTCAAGCTGCTTGTAGTGAAGAAAACTGTCACTCGTTGCTCACCTTAACCTCACTGTTTCGAAAAACTAAATTTCTAA